AAAAATATAGGCTTTCAGATTTGTGCATTGATCTTGGCACCAACACCAACACCTTGCAGACAGATTTCTAGTAAATGTTTTACACGTCGCTGGTTTCACTAAGTCTAATTAAAAAATGTGAGTCATAAATTATATCTAGTTATCACAACTAGATGTATCATTTTCTCCCAGATTTTTGAAGTTAATTCTTTAAAAAGAAAAATTCTTTTAGAACATCAAAACTCTGACGTATTTCGACTTTAAATGCAAACCGTGAGGTTTGTTCTATCCCCAGTTAGGTGAGAAGCAACTCAACCAAAATCAATAAAAACATTTCAGTTGTAAGAAACCTGTGCAAGAAGAGACTGGGATTAGGATTTCCAAGTTTATCTGTTAAAAGGGGGTTACTACAAAGAGCAGAAAACCTATTGAGCTTCAGAAACTTTTTGCTGCTTATAAATATCTGAGGGTTTAAGTACCACTTCTCACAGAACTCGTTGCTTCTACTGATGAAATGTATTTTTAGCTCAGAAACACATCTGCTCATACTATGAGGTAAATCTAAACTGAACCAAGTCTTAAAAGAACGATCCTATCAGGTTTAATTGTTCAGTAACAACATTAATCACGATTAACTCATTTAATATTAATTTGGTTGTCATAAAATGCTCTAAATTAATTAGCTTGACCTTAATTTTGAAGGATATCCCATAAGTGCCCGGTGTAAAAGCTTGGCTTAGAGCAGAAGGCAGGCTGGGAACATGATTCCTGACTACCAAGTTCAGCCTTTGTACTTGAAAGAGTTTGGAGTATTAAAATGTTTGCCCTGTTTAATCTCAGCCAGTAACATCTGTATTTATGGTCAGAGTTCAAGAGGAAGTAAAAGATTCCATCTCAGCTGGGAGAGATCTGCCCAGATGTTTCTCACAACTTGTAGTCATCTCTGAACTCTCTAAAGCAGATAATCTGATCATTTTAACATCCCAATTCCATTAATTTTACCATTTCAGATACGGAAAAACTGAGGTGTGGAAATAAATGATAGATAAGCCCTTTAAAGTAAATATTTTAGAACATTTTTACTCACCTTCTCAATCCCACATCAACAACTACATTAAACAAGTAAAGCTGTTTTACAGCACTCAGAATTCTAGCAGGATTATCGTTATAGCAGGCTTTTCATTTCTTTTGTTCTGTATTTTTTAATTGAACTTTTCAATAAATATCGATGATCTTGCTAAACAAGGCTTTTAATGCAGAGGTCACTGACTCATTCTGAACTGAGAGATACAGATGAATACTTTAAAAACAATAGTTTTAATGCCAATATTAGATACTAAGTAGCTGATGTATTTTATTCTTTTCATACACTAGATTATGCATTCTCCTTACACTGGCATTTCTGATATATTTTCTGAGAATCAATTTTTGTCTCATGTAAATGGCTCTCTGGAGGATTTCACAACTAGAGGCAGCAGAAATCAAACATAAAACCTACCCTTAGGACAAAAATATTGTCTACTGTTTGCACAAAAAACAAGCAAAATAAACTGTTGTTTGAGTCTGTCCAGAAAAATGTCCTGCTGTTTTGTTAAAAGTGGGACTTACACCTCATGGAATTAGAAAAGACAAGCAGCTCAGGCGATGGAGAGTCGATAAATCACTCCTGTTCTTTACCAAAGGAGTCTGCATGTACACTACATGCATTTTAAAATTAAGAAGCAGTAGAAGTGGGGGAAAAAAGCCCTTATGCTGTGAGGATCATTTGGTAACAAGTACAGATGCATCTCAAAATCCCTTGAAAACAAGACATTTCCCTGCTGCCGAGAGACCGAATTTTGAGCACGGTTGAAACTGTTAAAGCACAACAGCAATTATTCCTGTTCACTCATTACCAACTTATGCCTGGAAATAATAATTGCACTGAACCCAATGACCACATGAGATGAGCAGAGAACATTCAGGAGCTAATAATTCTGTTTAGGTATGTTCCTGATTGCTTTTGGTCTGCAGAGGATACAACTGAATTAAGTAATTTCTAGCTTTTTTCCTATTACCCAGGTAAGTCAATTTGCATAAATTCAGCCCAGAGGTTCCCATAGCATATCACTGTAGTATAAACTCAAGTTACACTGATGTAACTAATAAAATTTACTCACCACCTTCCAAGAAACAGGGATTTGAGAGATCCATGGTAGAAGGTACCTTTGTTCTACATAAGGCTTCAAAGAATGCAGCAAAGAAAATTAAATTACTTGACATTATATCGGGCTCATTGTGTTACAAGGCTCATTATATTTTGTCAAAATCCAGGTTTTATTTCTTGGCATCTCTTCAGCCTTTATCAGTACAGAGATTCTGCTTCAGTTCTGTTCATCATCATTGCAACCCAGATTTTTTACTGTCACCACATGTGCCATCGTGTTCCTGCTTTACACCTTCCCTTCTGTGGAACCTTCTCATTTCCACTCAGCACTTCAGCTTTCCGCCTTCAGAAAGCCTCCCTCTTTCATCTTACCAATGCAAACTGCTGCAATTCCTTAATTTAGCTGCTTGCAGGTGATTTTGACCACCATCTCCAGGCCCAAGACCAGATCTGTTCTTGTGCCCCGATGTACAGACGTGTCCTGAAACCAGTTCCTGGGAGGTTTGGCTTCAGCACTGGCACTGGTACTATAATTTAAAACTCTGTGTTATCAGACCCTTCCAACACTTCCTCACATTTAAGTGTTCTCAGTATTTCTCTCTTTTTTTTTTTTCAAGGCAATGTATTTTCCAAGTTAAAAACCAGCTCAGATTTCCCTGATTTTCCCTGCAATCGTTTTTGTTAAAATACCAAAAAAAGGGGGCAAGACTATGATGTGCTTCCAGGAAACTTTAAATTCATGTGCAAGAAAGAGACAAAAAACCTGTTTCGTTTTTTTTTGATGACTTAACACTTAAAATGTTTTTTCTGTTTCTGCTGCTGTGTTTACTCCCCTAATACGCAAAAATGTGCAAAATTCAAGAGGTGCTGCTGTTATAGAAAGAAGATGCAGCAGTAGTTTATTTTATTCTTCCAAATTAAATATTCTGACCCTTTTTTCCTGGTGATCTTTTCCCCTTTTCTGTACACCTTTGTTGCCTATTATTAACCTGCATCGAAATTTTAATTTTTAAAAAAAAAATTCCATAAATCAGAATTAAGAGACATCGTGATTACTAATGGACATTTTTTCATTCTTTACCATGGTTCTATCCCTTTTGGAACAGTTTTATTATTTATTTTTTTCTCTTTCTTAATTAAAGGCCCTTTTTTATTAGAAGTCTCTTTTTGGAATAAACATTATTCCACATCCCAAGATCTGGCTGAAAAACCTGAAAATGTGTATTCTATGCTTACAGTAAAGGTTGGAATTATTCCTTGCAATGGCACTGATATGAAGTTTGCTTTAAAACATGAAAGATCCTCTTAGACTCATGAGAAATGGTATTAAAATTTATTGTTAGATATTGCTGATTGTGATTGAAAATCACTTCATTAAATTACAGTACAGAGAGATGAAGGACATCTTGCAGCAATGAAAATGGTTGCAAATTTAATTAAAACATTAAATTATTGTTGGAATAAAGGTCATAATCATAAAATGTAATTGAAGGAAGTACATTAGCATGTACCCTAAGGTATCCTTTCTATTTCAAAATACATATTACATATTTGACATTTAAGGAGGAAATAGGTACCATTTTATCTGGATGGATGAACGACGATGGTGAGAATTGTTATCCATAATACAGTTTAAGAGCCCAATTTTTCAAAAAATCATTTGCTCCTTGCATAGGTGTAACATACTATTTGTGTGCCTCTGACTGAGGGAATTCACATTATTTATGGAACAGCCTGGACCTGCACAGAGCAGAGGACATCAGATCATATACTAAGGCTTTATGGAAAAGGTGTAACTTATGCCACAGCCTTCCAAGGGTATCCTTGTCAGCCCCTGGTTATGTTTATGCCACTGTGTGCCATTTATCACTGCACTTCTCTCCCTTGCAACAGATTAGGGAGGAAAAAAATGCATGAGGACAGAAAATAGAAGCTGCAAGAACATCTATCCATGAAACTGGTGCTGAAAGCACATTGGCAATGCTGCCACAGCAGGGCTGTCACCTCATGTCCTGAGAATTTCTTGTTCCAAACAGCAAATACCCCAGAAATTGATAAACCTTAATGATTCCTCCTAAATACTCAGCAGTAGCCTTTGAATTCAGATCAAGTCTTGTCCAACATTCTGCATCCCTTTCACTTTCTGCATTTACTGGTATTTTTTGAAAAGGGAGAGGGTATTTTTTGAAATGGCTCGGATGGGAAAATCAGAGCGAGCACATGTAGAAAATTTATATATTTCTATATAAATAATTTTGTAATATGTATTTGGAAAGAAAGCTAGGATTGCCAAGCTGGAGTTCAGCAGTGGTTATGCTGATAAATCCATGCTGCAGATTGAAATGCTCTATTGCAGCAAGTCATTTTACACCGTGGAAACAAAATAAGGATCATGTACAGGTTTCCAATAACAAATTAATTCTTAATATTCTTAAATAGCAGTAGAAATCTCCTAAATCTGCCTCAGTGATCATCATCTTTCATTGCTGTTTCTCAAGATATTATTTGAGTTGCCATATTCCTTCCCATACCGACCTATTGCATCAAAGCCAAAAACCTGCAAATTTTCAAAGTTTAAATCTACTTCTGTTATATTTTCCCATTTTTTTTCTCTCTTTTTTCCCTCTCCTGCTTTACCTTTTCCTTGTTTTCCAATGTTTTCTTCTATTCAAATGTATTCCTTTATTAGCAAAAACATTCAATTAAAAAAAATCAAAGACGATCATCCAGGTTTTAGTGAAGATATCAGATATTGCTTCTTAGAAATACAACATAAGTTTTATTTCCCAAACACAGAATCTCAAGATCCATACTGCTATTTTTCTGTCCCACTGTAGTGAGGCTTTCTCTGAATCCTTCACTATTTCCTTTACAGAGAATTACATCTGACACAACAAGATACAGATTTCAACACTGTTTGGCTCTGCACTGGGATCTCCAGGAAACCTGATGTGTAAGTGAATTCTAGAATTTGGCTGTTTGGCAAATGTCAGTTTTAAGCAAACCCTTCCATGAGTCAGTAGTAACCCTCCATAATAATGTCCCAGCCATTATCTAGCCAGGGAGCTCTGATCTGTTGTCTTAATTACTGGCCTAAATTAATCCACATATTTCGTACAAAGAAGTGCTGAGGATGGAGACCATCATGTGATATTTGTGCAGTTATATCCTCCAGTGTTGTGTTTTCTACAGCTCATGTTTTTACTTTATCTCTGCTCCCTTAAATGGACCGTTAAAAAAAGAAGGAAAAGAAATTTCAAAGGAAGTCATCATGAATTATTTATTACCGGGTTTTCTGCTTTGAAAGCTGAAAGAACTAGATTAATTACATTATATTTTTTACTATTTGGAACATCAGAAAGGAATATAATAGGAAAATTAATATTTGACACTTGTGCCCATTAATGAAATTGGGAGGGCTACACAGTTTCCTGGTGAGGCATTTCTGAAGACTTCTGCAGTTCCAGCCCAAGCCATGACACTGCAGCAATGAAAGAATTCAAGGAAAAAATATACACAGATCAAATAAAAAAGGGGGACAGAGCAGGAACATTCAGACCACGGGAGACTGTGGGTGACTACAACAATTTCAGGGAACAAGAAGAAAAGGAGAAGTGCGTGAGAGGAAGTTAGAGGTACTGAAAAAGAAAAAAATGAAACTTGAAATCAGGACTGAGGCATTGTCTACATTTCTCTTGCTCAAATAAGCAGAAGAATTTCTATATGATACATGGTTTGGGTTCTTTTCCTTCTGCTTCCCAACACCCTAAATCTGTTCATTATCACTGCATCAGATAAGACAGAGAGGATTTCTAGAGCAGATGAGACCCGAAACTTGAAGTGCAAAATGTGTAATATTGTTTGCTCATTCGTTTGCCAATTACTGACAAAATCTAAATGTAGTTTATTGCTAAGTGAGAGAAGGTTGTCTTTAATTACAGCAGCCAAAGTTACTTTTCTATTATAAGCTGTTTGGTTTTATACCTTTTCAGTCTATTGTCTCTGAATCAATCAGTATAAAAGCAGGCTTGTGGAAATTGGAATTGTCTCAGGGGAAGTGCAGAAACCAATTAACAAAACTGAGGGACATTTAACATCTAGAGATTAGCAAAACAAGAATTCAAAATTCCTATCACTTGCTTTAGCATGGAAACAAAAGTCTTATCCTAGAAACAGTTTAGGAAAAAAAAATGAAGCATGATGAGTCTCCTAATAAGTTTATTTTTGATCCCTCTTGCAGTGTTCTTATCTATGGTAGTTTGTTATTCTACTAGAAAAAATATGCAGTTTAAGAGTTTTCTATTTTGAATTATTGGCATCATTCTCTTCTATTTGAGTCAGATAAATGGATCACAGTACACAACCAGTTATCAAACCCAGCTGGTTCTTATGACATTAGGCCAACTTCTCAAATTCGAAATGCACATCACCCTTAATTATGGAACACGTAACTTCCACTTCACTCGTGTGAGTTGGAGGCACAAAACTGGTGCCAGCTCCTTTTTTGGAATCAGGAAAGCTGAAAGGCTTGAAGAAAAATGACAAGAAGTAAGAGATGCAAAGACTGGCAAAACAGAAAGACAGCTGAACTTCTACCTGTTGTTTGTAAGTACTTCTAAAGCTGCTCAGAACTGACAGCAAATGAGCTGGTAGGGAAGGAAAACATATATAAGGAAAAGGAGAATGTGGGAGCAGCCAGGGAAAGGGAGCCAGTGCTGCTGTTTCAGTGTGGGTTGAGTGAATTGCCAGGTTACCTTTGAGAACCCTTGCAAGGCTGCAGTGAAGCGTTTAATGGAACACAGAGAGTTCTGAGTGCTGGCAAAGAAAAAATCAGAATACCTTGAAGAGCAATGTCATTATCGCAAAATTTACAGTGATTAAAATTTTGCCAAGCTTTTTATTTTCCCTTTTTCATCAGTGTTTTTTTCCCTTCTAACTGATCATTCATTTTCAATCCGCTGTTAAACAGCTTTATCAAATGAAGGCTCTGTGCTGTGTAATGAGAATGTATCCAATAAAAATGCTTTCAATTACATTTTAAAACTGCAAAATATCAAATTACTGCTGTATGAGGATACTCCATTGAAAACTGTAAGATTACCAGAGAGGTCATTATGTTTCTCTACTACATGACTTTGTAGTATAATAGCACAGTGTCACCTTAAATATGATTCATTGAAAATGTTGCGGTGAACAAACCAATTTTTCATTTCTAGAGCCTTGCAATCAATGAAACAGTTCATACAAAGCAAGAAACAGTGTAAACTTTTATTTCTTTATTTCGATCACTACTAGAACTTTTCGGTGATAAAATAGAAAATAATTCAAAAAAATGTGGTCTAGTTTTCACTATATCTGTGATTTATTTAATTCTTATATTCTCCTCGTTGCAGTTATATCCAGAAGTGCTAGTTTCCTTCGTCTTTTGATTCCTATTCACTAGCAAACTTTGGGTTGGTAGAGAACTGATGGGGTTGCAGGAGATTCAAGTTTAGCTCCTCATTTTATCATTCCCATGCTGCCTTTGAGAAATCAGTGTTGTAATGTACTTAAGTTCCATTTGCAAAAGACAGTCAGATACCCAGAAACCAGTGAAGCCTTAGTGCTGAATCACTTGGGTTTGGACATCCTGCCCAAATCTCTCTGTAGTCAAGTCCCCAACTGATGGACTCAGTTAATGTGACAGGGTACAAGAGGTACATCTAAATAAACAATTCCATACTTTGCAATGGTTCTTTTTAGGTGTTAAATCACTTCCTTTTATAGTCTGGAGTCAAGTTGTGTGCACTAGAATGTGCCATGGGTTTGGAGTAGGTACCACAGAGCCTGATTACTCCGGCATCACACACAGATGGAGGGAATCTCACCTTTCAAGCATCAGCTTAATGCAATTTTCAAGAGCGTATTTTAATTTTTACACGGTTTTTGTGGTATCACAGAACACCATATTCCTGCTGACAGATGGAATGGGTGGTTTACCAGAATTAAATTAACTTTTAAGAGTAAATCTGTTTCCCTCTGTCCTTTACAGATTCTGCATAGGAACAACATGCCTCTTTCAGGATGTGTATGGCCAAAACATCAGATAGCAGGGCCTCTGATACCTGGACTGCTTACACACCTTAAAAATGGTGTTTCTGTAGCATTTACTCTTCTAGACTGCAGTAAAAACATAACATGATGTTAAATGGCAAACAATTTTTACTTCTCTAGTGCTTGATTTGTATTATAAATTAAGGATTGTAACATAATGATTTGCTTTTTGTTGTTCATTGAGCAGCTCAGCTTTCAGCTGTGATAACACAAACATCTGTTCTTTTTCTGGCAGCATGGGTACAGAGGAATTTACAAGATGAGAATTGCATATTAATTGTTACCAACATTCCTTCTAACACGAGGGGTTTCTTGATGATATGAGGTGTGATAGAACAGAACCACAAAGTAGCAGGAGAAATGGGGTTGGCTCTCTGGAGGTCACGTTGTCAAAGCAGATCACACTGTTTGCAGCCTTGTGTAGTCCAAGTGATTATCAAATGTGCAGGAGCTGTGCTAAAACTGAAGAGGAATAACTGTCAGTCCCCCTCAGACCATGGATCCCTATCCAATCAACCCATTAATATACTTACAGGAGAATAAGGCAGGACTTAAATGTTCCGTGCTCCTTAACAAACAAACAGACAAACAAACTCGCTCCAACTATTGATTGCAAACACTGGGAGAATCTTCATAAATACATGAAGGGAGACTATAAACTGAAAACAGGGAATAATGAAAATGTTGTGAGCCAGTGCGCCAAAGCAGCAGGAAATACTGCATGTGCAAAGATATTTATGATTAGAACTGTGAACTAAGTAAAAATGTGTGTGATTGCTCTGACCTTCAACTCATTACACTCCCAATTATCTTTTTATTCCTCAATGCAAAACAAATATGTTTTAATTATATTTATGCACAAGTGCATCTGAAGTTTGGATAAACAGTCATGAATAAATTAAAAATCCAGTGAAAACCAGACTTCATAAGAAAAGCACTGACAAAAGAGTTTATTGTAGCTCAGAGAGTGGTTCTGATTGTAACATCATCCCACCTAGCATAAGTTTTAAATTGTATTTGATTATAATAATTATAACTTTTTACAGAAAGCAATCATTTGACTGGCAATTGCATGGAAGAGTGAATGGAAACCTAGCAACCTGGCTATTCCTGTTATTATAGAGGAACCCTTGCAAAAAGTATGTTCTGTTTGAAAACCTTGCATTTAGTATTTGATACAAGCTGTAATTCAATTCAGTGCAAGAGTCTTTAAGTCCTCTTCATCCACTGTCAAGAGAGGAGTTGGGGGGTGTGCATGCACCTCATGGATCCAAAACATCACTTCTGAAGGATTTAATGAGGGTTTTGGGAGGTTATTTCTTAAATGATCCTGAATTTGACACTTTTATGCCATCCCCTCCCTTTGTAAGGTCTGTTGCACACCGGGGCAATCCTGGCAAGGAAACATGGACAGGGAAAGATAAACAGCAGAGCTGGTTTGCTGCCAACAGGGAATTTTACAGCACGTGAAGGGATGGATCTATGATACATAATTCCAGACATTATAAATCCAGTTTTGTAAGGGTTCCTAATTTAGATTTCAGCTGCTTACCTTGTCTCTAATATCCCAGAGAGGTAAATACTAGTGCTGCCACTACAAATACTACAACAGCACCTGCTGCTACTACTTATATAATAGTTTAGATCCAGAATTTCTACTTGCTTTTCATACTGTTTGGACTATTAAGCACAAAGGTAACAGGCTGCTTACAAGTCATAGCAGATACCCTGTAACTGCACTGGGTTTTCAACACTTTTATCTTAGAAGACTGAATAGTCCAGTGCAGGGCATCTGAGACAACACTACAGCTAAATCCCAGCATATCTGTTTTTTCAAGGCCAACATTCCCCATCTACCCTTTTTCTTTAATGGTTAGAAACATGAAAATGTAAAAATATCCTATTTACAACAATGTACTGAGAATCCCACATTATATCACTCCTCTGCTGTGATCTGATTAGGGGGTAGAACATAAATTAAGAGTATTTATTTGACTTTAAAGTCCTGTGGATTTTTTTATGAGGCACCACGAGATCTGCAGGTCAAGGCAGTAAATGAAGATGTGTCTAAAATTTTTCAGGATTCACTTAAACTGGGCCTAGAGATATCAAACACCACCATCTCAGCCTGTAAAATAAAGGTC